GAGACAGGGCCTCACTATGTTGCCCAGGCTGATCTTGAACTCCTAGCCTCAAGTGATCCTCCCACCTCAGCCTCCCAAAGTGCTGGGATTACAGGCATAAGCCACCATGCCTGGCTCATCTATACTTTCTTAATTCCCATAGCACCCTTGTGAGATAGGTATTGTTATCTATCCCCATTTCCTAGATGAGGAAACTGAGACTCAGAGAACCCAAGTCATTGCCAGAAGTCACAGCTGGTTCCACTCCTGCAACACTACCAGGACCTCAACTCCCATATTCCAGGTCAGAGCCCATCCCCATGACCCACAGCAGCTGCCTAACCCTAAAATGCTGGAGTTGGGCCGGGCGCCTTGGCTCACGCCTGTAATCCCAGAACTTTGGGAGGCCGAGATGGGCAGATCACTTGAGGTCAGGAGTTCGGGACCGGCCTGGCCAACATGGGGATACCCTGTCTCTCCTAAACGTACAAAAGTTAGCTGGGTGTGGTGGTGCACGCTTGTAATCCTAGCTACTCGGCAGGCTAAGGCAGGAGAATTGCTTGAACCCGGGAGGCTGGAGGTTGCAGTGAGCCGAGATCACGCTACTGCATTCCAGCCTGGGCGACACAGGGAGACTCTATCCCCTATAAAAAAATAAAAAATAAAAACGAAAAACCAATTTGACCCTGCCCTTCCCTGCTCAAAGTCATTCCATTGCTCCCCATGGCTCAGCATAAGGCACCTAATGTATCACTAAGGCGGCGAGGCCCGCAGACACCTGCCTTGTCTTTCACTATGCCTCATACTGCAGTCAGCAACTCCTGAACCTCTTCTGGCTCCCGGACATCCCAAACGCCGTGCCCATTGATGCCTCAAAGATCTAGCTCAGCCTGTCTGCTCGGCCTGCCCACTCTTCCCTCTAAAACTCTCACTTTTTGTTTTTTGAGACAGTGTCTCCCTCTGTCACCCAGGCTGGAGTGCAGTGGTGTGATGTCAGTTCACTACAACTTCTACCTCCTGGGCTCAAGCAATTCTCATTCCTCAGCCGCCCGAGTAGCTGGGATTACAGGTGCATGCCACCACCTGTATTTTTAGTAGAGGTGGAGTTTCACTATGTTACCCAGGCTGCTCTTAAATTCCTGTTCTCAAGTGATCAGCCCGCCTCAGCCTCCCAAAGCTCTGGGATTATAGGCGTGAGCCACCTTGCTCAGCCAAGAACCCTCACTTCTGTTCCCAAGGTGGAAAAGGCTCTTACTTTGGACATGAGGGTATTTCATCAGGAGCAGGAGGGTATAGCCAACCGTGGCGCTGACCGTCATCGTCCCAGCGAACAGCAAATAAATGACTGTCATCAGCATGTTCTTGTTGGTGAATTCTGTGTCTGGGTTTTGTTCCTCCTGAAAGAAACCAGGCAGAGGGGCTGAGAGAACACAGCTTTTGGGAAGTAAATGTCCAGAACAGCCCAGCCTGGGGTCAGCACTACGAGTTTTGTCACGGGGTTTAGATAAATTTTGGGGAAGGTTGGGAAGTCGACTCTTTTTTTTTTTGAGACAGCGTCTTGCTTTTAAAAAGCCCAGGCTGAGTGCAGTGGCACGATCCTGGCTCACTGCAACCTCTGCCTCCTAGGTTCAAGCAATTCTCCCACCTCAGCCTCCCGAGTAGCTGGGATTACAGGTGCGTGCCATCACGCCCGGCTAATTTTTGTATGTTCAGTGGAGACGGGGTTTCTCTATGTTGGCCAGGCTGGTTTTAAACTCCTGACCTCAGGTGATCCACCTGCCTCTGCCTCCCAAAGTGCTGGGATTACAGGTGTGAGATACTGTACCTGGCCGAGAAGTAGACTCTTGATGTTAGTTCTCTCTGGTTGAAATATTTTTTAAAATGAAAGAGAATACTACTAACAAAAACACAGAAAGTTATAAGCATTGATGAAGATGTGAAGACTTTGAAACCCATGTACACCATTGGTATGAATGTGAAATGATGCAGCCCTGTGGAAAATGGTACAGCAGTTCCTGAAAAAATCAAAAATACGGATGGGAGTGGTGGCTCACATCTGTAATCCTGGCACTCCGGGAGGCTGAGGCAGGTAGTTTGCTGGAGCTCAGGAGTTTGAGATCAGCCTGGGGAACATAAAGAGACCTCATCTCTCCTAAAAATAAAAAAAATCAGCCAGGTGTGGTGGGGCACACCTGTAATTCCAGCTACTCAGGAGGCTGAGGCAGAAGGATTGCCTGAATTCAGGAGATCAGGGCTGCAATGAGCTATGATTGAACCACTGGACTAGAGCCCGGGCAACAGAATGAGACCCTATCTCAGAAAACAAACAAACAAAAATTAGAATTATAGAATTACCATATAATCCAGCAATTTGACTTCTAGGGATATAACCAAAAGAATTGAAAGCAGAGGCTAGGCACGGTGGCTCATGCCTGAAATCCCAGCACTTTGGGAGGCCTAGGCAGGTGGATCACCTGAGGTCAGGAGTTCGAGACCAGCCTGGCCAATACGGTGAAACCCTGTCTCTACTGAAAATACAAAAACAAAATTAGCTGGGTGTGGTGGCGGGCACCCGTAGTCCCAGCTACTTGGGAGACTGAGGCAGGAGAATCACTTGAACCCTGGAGGTGGAGGTTGCAGTGAGCTGAGATCGTGCCACTGCACTGTAGCCTGGACAACAGGGCAAGACTCCATCTCAGGCCGGGCGCGGTGGCTCAAGCCTGTAATCCCAGCACTTTGGGAGGCCGAGGCGGGTGGATCACGAGGTCAGGAGATCGAGACCATCCTG